GAGCTGGAGGCGGGCGAGGGCCTGGTCACCGTCCCCCGCCGGGCGCTGCTGTCCCAGCACACCAGCTCCATCCACGCCCTCCTGCAGGAAGGTGAGCGCCAGGAGAGGCTGCCTCGTCCTCCTCGGGTCAGGCGGGAGGGCTGCCGGGCCTGCACCTGGCTCTTCCCCCTTTTCCTTTTAAAAAAGGGTCTAGGATAAAAAAAAAAAACACGCAGGATGCCAGAGCAGGGGGCTGCAGGACTGTTAGCCACCTGGTAGGAAACCCATCGCCTTCTTAAGGGAGCCAGTGTTACCTGGCAATGAGAAAAGCCTATTATGGCACTATCTCCGATCTTTAAGTGGCAACCACCCATATGATGGTGCTTTCCTTGAGGCCCAGGCCAGATGCTGCTAGAAAAAAGAAGGGTTCCTTTCTTGCTGAAGGCACCCAGAGCCTCAGGGTGAGGATAGCAAAGCAGCGGGGGGTGGTTCTGGCTCATCCAGAGCAGCAGCTTCTGGTTCTGCTTCAGCTCAGAAGAAACCCAAGCCCAGAGAGATCTTACAGAATAAAAGCAGAACTCCCCAGCCCAGGCTGAAGACAGGCGAGGAGGTTTATTAGGATCAAGCTTTGTTTCTTGGAAGACTTGTTCTCGAAGGAAGGGGCCAAAACCTCAAATCAACTTACATTTTCTCTATCGTCTCTGGGTCCTTAGCCCAGGAATCCCTGCAGAGCCAGTCCGGCTGGGTGCCTCTCCTGCTGGCCCTGCTACACGAATACACAGCGAGCAATTCCCACTGGAAGCCTTATTTCTCCCTCTGGCAGGACTTCAAGAGCCTGGATCACCCCATGTTCTGGTAAGGTGAAAGCAAGTGGGGCTGTTCATTTGATGGCTGGATACAGCAGCTGCTGACCAGGCCTCTTGGGGTTGGATGTGGTCCTACTGTATGACTTCAGCCCTGTGCTCTCAATGGCCATAGCCTGACGGACCCCCCTACCTGGGGCTGGAGCTAGTGACAGGTATAACCAGAAAAGAAGAATCTGGAGAGCACCCAGGAAGCTGAGATTTTGAAGGAGAAAGGAGTTTACAGACCCTTCTCCCTGGGGAAGATGGAGATAGATAAACCTGCTGTTCATCTTGCAACAGGCCTGAAGAAGAGCGAACAAGGCTCCTGCAGGGCACAGGCATTCCAGACGCAGTGGAAAAGGACCTGGCTAACATCCACCTGGAGTACAGCTCCATCGTCCTGCCTTTCATGGAGTCCCACCCCAACGTCTTTGACCCCAAGCTGCACACACTGGAGTTGTACAAGCAGCTGGTGGCGTTTGTCATGGCTTATAGGTGAGAAGTGAGGGCTTTGCTCCAACAAGGAGCAAGGGCAAAGAATAGGATCACAGGAGAGATTATAGGCTGTGTTATTTAAAAGGTTGCAGTTGCACAAGAACGTAAGTATAAGGTGAAGCAAGGTGTAAAACTGGCTTGTCTTCATCTCCCTTGTCTTAGCTTTCAGGAGCCTTTGGAGGAGGAAGATGAAGATGAGAAGGGGCCCAATCCTCCAATGATGGTGCCTGTAGCAGATATTTTGAATCATGTGGCCAACCACAATGCCAACCTGGAATACTCTCCCGTGAGTGCAAAGCTGCTCTGCCAGGCATCATCAGTCTGGTTCCTTATCACTGCAAGGCCTTTGGGGCTGGCTGCACAGCAAGGCTGGCTCTCTGAACCCAGGGTAGCAAGCGAGTCTGGCCTGGATCTCATTAATATGAAGCTGTTTTGCTCAACATACTCCCCTGCTGCATGCCTGGCTTTAGCTAGGAAGAGCTTAGTGTCACCTGAGCCTCTCCAAAACACCTTGTTTCTGAGCAGCAGGATCACCGCAGCTCTGAGCACCTCTTCTCTCCCTGCTTGCAGCAATGTTTACGAATGGTTACAACACAGCCTATCAGCAAAGGACAAGAGATCTTCAACACGTACGGGCAGATGGCCAACTGGCAGCTCCTACACATGTATGGCTTCGCAGAGCCGTACCCTGGCAACACCAACGACACAGCTGACATCCAGATGGTGACAGTACGCAAAGCAGCACTGCAGCGTGAGTGGTACCCATAGCCACTTTGGGAAAGGATGGGGCAGGGATCTCTTCAATGGTGATGTAATGAAACAGGGATCAAGGGTGATCTGAAAAATAAGCCTGTTTCACAGCATTTCAGGTGCTGGGGCTACGCCTTGGTTTTCTGCCTCCTGTTTCCCCTTCTCCATTCACCACCACCCCCTCCACTGCAACCCAAGTTGGGTTTGCAGCTCTTGCTGTCTTCAAAACAGGTGCCAAAAGCGAAGCACAGCAGCAGCTGGTCTCAGAGCAGTGGGACTTCTTGTGCCAGCTGGAGATGGTGGGGGAGGAAGGTGCCTTTGTGCTTGGCTGGGATGAGGTGCTGACAGAGGAAGAGCTGTCCACAACCCTGAAGGTAAGCACTGCCAAGTGGTGGAAGAGCTACACAAGGAAGAGCACAGACTAAGCATACTGCAGCTGTGCAAACCAGCATGCAAAAATGGTTCACTGAAGGGGGGCAAGCTTGTAAAGGCATTTTGGTACTAACACTCCTCTGTGAGAAGTGGTAGGGGATGCAGTTCCCCATTTCCCCAGGCTTCAGGTACTGTTACTGTCTTCTTCCTCTCCTGAATTAACCACCCATGTGTACTTAGGAACTGGTCTTGAACAGCTCTGGGCTACTGCTGCTCCAGAGAACTTTGCACCTTTCTAGGTAGCAGCCGGGATGTCCTTTAAGACTGTTCCCAGCACCCAGGTTTGCTGTTTGAATGTTCTTCTAACCCACAATTTACTTGCGATGAGGTATCCAAGCCAGTTTTACTCTTTCACCTTTTGTGCAGCTGAGGAATAATTCACCTGCTCCATGTGGCTCTAAGACCACACTTATGTAGAGAAGAAAGCCTGATGTACTCACATAGCCAGTGACTTGTCTCTTTGCCTGGGTCATTACAGGTGCTGTGCATGTCAGAAGAAGAATTCAAGGAGTATAAAGAACAAGATGGCTGGGAAGACAACAGCGAGGAAGAGGAAAACTCTACCCTTTCTAACGAGGCTCTCTCCAGACTTAAAACCCCATGCAAGCAGCTCCTTTACGACAGTGTGCTGCTGACCCTGGAGTCCTATGGGTCAGACTTGAAAGCGGAGCAGGACCTGCTAAATAACAAAGAGGCTTATGAGAAACTGAGTCGAAGGGAGCAGCAAGCTTTGCATGTGCGCTATGGACAGAAAAGGATCTTGCATCAGCTGCTAGAGCTCGTACGCTAGAAACCTCGCTGCCTCTGGTAATGACCTGCCTGGAACTGTGCTCAGGAAGGGAAGGTCAGCCTTTGGCCGTCTCTTCTACAGCAGCAAGAACAGATGGCAAGATTAAATAGGGGTCCACTAGTCCCTCAAGTGGCATGTGGCTTTTTAGCTACCTCTACATAAACAAAAAAATCTTCCACAGCACAGAAGTGGTTTTGGGTAGCCTTATCTTACAAGGAGAGCTCTGGAAGCACAGCTACCACCTCCTTCTAGAGGACTTAAGAACGCCCAGATCTCCTAATGGCTGCTTTAGGAAGACAGACATACTCTGTCAGAATAACAAGTGGGTTCCCTCATTTAGCATCAGAAATTTAAGGCAAGAACTGCTCCTTGTCCAGATGAAGAGGGCCAAAATCCAGCTGGTAGCTCTTACCTTACAGAGGTTCAGAGTAAATATCTGGCAGGTGGAGATGCTGACAAACTAAACTCTTCACCTACATTTTATTAATATTGAGCATTTTAAAAAGTACAAGCCCACCTGTCTGTTTTTCATGTTGGCTCATTATAGCAAGATATTTCCTTTTACCTCTATAAAAGGCATTTCTGTATGGGCTTGAGACTACTCTATAAAGGAGCACTGTCACAGTTCTGCAGCTGCTGTAGGCTAAGCATTTGGTATACACCCTCCAGTTGATACAGTTCTTCCCTGAACTCGGGCATTGCTCTGCATCATGTTTAGCTATATTAATATTTTCCCTCAGCAGTTTTTGCATGACAAAACACTGGAGGTTTGCAGGCCAAGCTATATTTAATAAAGATGACACTTCTTATCCAGCCACTGCTGTCTACTTCAACAGGGTGCAAAGCCCCATCTAAAAGGGGGGGATCTTTGCTGCTGCTGCAGTTAGAAGTCTTGCAAACAAGCAAACCCCATGTACTCATGTAGATAAAGGTCAGCTACAGCCCTAGCTGCACTGCTGGGGGCTAGGGTGGTTTAATATTATCTAGGATACTTTTCTCCCCTTTTACACTGGTGTAATGCCATAATAGAGTCCAGTCTGCCATCTTGGCTCTTCCTCTTCCTACAGCAGACTAGATTTCAAACTAGGGACACAGTGGATCGAAAGGTTAGTCTTCATTTCTTAAATGAAGGAGGTCGTAGTGAGGCAGGGGTTGGTCTCTTCTCCCAAGTAAGAAGTGATAGGACAAGGGGAAACAGCCTCAAGTTGCACCAGGGCAGATTTAGGTTGGATATTAGGAAAAAATTCTTCACCAAAAGGATTGTCAGGCATTGGAACAGGCTGCCCAGGGAAGTGGTTGAGTCCTCATCCCTGGAGGTATTTAAAACATGGGCAGACATGGTGCTTAGGGACCATGGTTTAGCGGTGGACTTGGCAGTGTTAGGTTAACGGTTGGACTTGATGATCTTAAGGGTCTTTTCCAACCTTAACGATTCTGTGATTCTACCCAGGCCCTCTGCTGGCAAGGACACTGGTAATCCTTGGGGAGCTGACATCAGCACTATTTACTTTGACAGTACCAGCTGCAGGTTCCTTACCTGCTAAGAGAGGATATGAAGTGCAGTGGCCTCCATCCTACCATCCCAGCTTGTGTTACTGGGATCTTGGCTCAAAGGGAACCAGCCATGTACAGCAGCATTAGTACAGAACCAGAGAGACCTTTGAGCTTTCAGTCATTAGGACGAGTCAGTAAGCTCTGCATATGGTTTGCTAGAGTTAAATGGCAGAAAAAAAACATGGCATCTGGACTAGATGAAGAAAAACTGGTTGCTGGTAATTCTCCATATCCTAACCCAATACAGGAGGAAGAGTAAACTGGAGTTGCAACACCAGAACCAAAAAAAATTCCAACTTCAAAAGGCTCAATTTCAGTACAACTGCTGGCCTGCCAAACAAATGCCAGGGAATTGTAGGATCTGGCAAGAAACTACTCCTTTACACATAGGTAACTGGAAAAAACACTGCCTAGAAGCAGGTCACATATTTCCCCCTGAGCTGAAGTCAACTGGCACACTTGGCTCTAGTTTTTGGCTCTAGTTGGATCTAGTTTTTGCTCTGTGCAGCAAAAGCACAGCCAGGTATGCAATCTCTTAAACATGAGCAGGAAATCCTGACCTCTCCACCCATACAATAGCAGTCAACTAGCTTTAACAAACTAGTAATGCTATCTAAAAAAAAAAAAAAAAGGCAGTGAAGCTCTATTTCCTAGTATCTGCTAGGTTGCAAGGCATAGGCTAAAGGAGTTTGTACTGTTAGCAATACTGAAGCCACCTATCCTTATTGCAGGTAACTAGCAACCTTGCACAGATCCTTGCTGAAGGGAACTATGATAGCAGGGCACAAGTCATGAGAAATGCAGCTGGTCTGCTGTCTGTGCTCTGCACCCCTCCACTGCAAGCAGTCTCCTTTCCAGCACAACTTCACTGGAGACAAATTCTGCTCCTGAACTTGCAACTAAGATATTTCTATTTCCACACAACTGTGTCCTTTCCTTTTGCACCTCAAAGCAAGGCCCATAGCAATTCTCCCCTCTGACCTCAAGGCAGAAAACAAGCTCACTTGCTCTCAATAGGCAGTGGCCAAAACACACTGGAAAACTGGAGGTTTTAAATAGGTGAAACAGACTTGGAAAGACATCAACTGGCCAGGTAGGATGGAACTGGAGAGAATAAGCACAGTGGCACGTGCTGCATGTCATGACTTTAATGTGTTACTACAGTATGCATACATACAAGAAGTGGGAGAACTAAAGCCCAAGAACTAGAAAGAACTACAAAATACAACACATGGACCAATACTTTACAAAACGTTCGAAATCCTTACAAAATGGGCTGTATTGGTCCTTTGGGTTTTTTGTTTTGTTTGCTTTTTTTTTCTTTTGGTTTTTTTTTGGTTTTTTTTACAAACTTATACTGTGTGGTCACAGGGTGGGAGGTGGGAAAAGGTCTAGATTTAACCCCCCCTTTCCAAAATTTACAAGTGTCAAAAAAAAAAAAAGCTATAGGCCTGGTCTCTGGTTTCTTTACTAAAAACAGCTGACCCTCTCCCAAAGGGCCTGAGGTGTGTCTTCTCCAACAGAAAGGAGGCATTCTCTGACTGCCACTCCACTTGCTGTCTGTCAGTATTGGATGAGGGTGGCGGGAAAGCAATGCTGAACCTTAACCCCTCCCCTACTCCATAGTATTCCCACATTCCAAACACATTCACCTTTTTTTTTTTTTGTAAAACAACTTAGTGATTTAAAGGTCCCCCATCCACATAAAGAAAAATAAGTTACATAATATTATAACTGGCTTTCCAATATTCTTTGGGAGTCTGGGAATGTCAGGACAAGGAGGTCTGCCCCAGACAAGTGCTTGGCATCAGCAGCTGCCCCTTTATTACAAGCTGGACAGGCACCAGTTACCCACCTGCCTTTTACACAATTTGCACAAACCCAAAAGTCCAGACAAATGTTTCTGTTCCTTGTATTTACACTAGCTCAAAATGATATTCACAGCATCTTCTGAATTTTGGCCAAAAGTCAAAAATTTGTTTCAAACTTTGGAACGTGCCCACATAGACTTTCACCCAGGGTCTGTTGCGTCTACCCAATCAAGGGGGCCGGGAAGGTCAGGAGGAGCCTTACAGAGTCTTCTGTCAGTCGATGGGACGGAGACCTCCAGGCTGGCACGCTTACAACACAAGATGCAGCTCATCTAACTGGCACCAGTCCCTTCCATTACTTGCTGGGCCTGCTTCTGCCCCATGCAGCACTGTGCAACTGACTGGAACAATCTGAACGTAGAAGCAACACAGTGTTAGGGGCATTTATGGCAGCAAATGGTGCTTCCACAATGAAGCACCAAAAACTCAAGGTGCATCTCAGCCCCTGCTTCAGATATATACTCACTTCTCAATTTCGGGAGCGCAGTGAACAAACTCATGGTTCCAGAACTTAAATGCTGGATTTTTTATCAGCTCAATGAAAGTAATAAGGAGACCCCAGGGATGAGGCCTATTTACAATCAGTCGTTCCAAGAGAACCCTGAAATCCAAAAGGAAAAAACAGTTAGAGCTCAAAGATCCAAAATACACATGGAAGGAAAGTGAAAAGCTGAATGCTGGCAAGTTAAATGCCTTCCCTCTCACCTAGTGATCTGCTCCTGGATAGCCTCAGTGTTGGCCTCTGCAAACAGGTACAGCATGGTGCAACTGAAGTAGTGGGTGTGACTGTTGGGATATCGCAGCTGATTGGCAATTGCATTCAAGAAAAGGTACCGGCCTGCAGAAGAGGAACAGTGAGTACATATGGTTTTCCTTACACACACACACAAAAAGGAATAAAGCAGCAACTAAGGTTTGTGAACCTGCCTTACGAAGGTACAAGAAACAAAGACAACTGGAGATATGAAAAAGCCTTATCAACCCAAGCTGATGGGGCAGTAAGAACTCCTCTTCATTAAACTTATTCCCTTGAATATCTTGAACATTTGGTTTTAATATTGCTCCTGTATTCAGAGTTTAATATTCTAACGTAGCATTACTTACTGTGAATTCACTAGCAGCTACATGAAATGATCTTCTGTATTTCTCATAGCTCAAACAATCTGCTGTTAAATTCGACATCGCATGAACTAGAAGTGTTTCCAGCTCACCTTCAGTGTCCAGGTCTACTGCCAAATTCTGGAAAATGTCCATGTGAGCTGAGTGGGTAATGGTGCTCATAGAGGGTGTGCTGCCTTTGTTGTGAATGTGCGCAATAGCTTGAGTACCTACGTAGAGCACCAGTGCATTAATCAGCTGGATGTTGTAGCGGTTGCCAGGTTCATTTGATACCTAATAGCAAAGATATGAAAGGCATTAACATTCTGTACTCCTTCAGCAATTGAAGGTACAGCATATACAACAACAGCATCCAAGTATCTTCTTGATTATACAGACAACACCACACTTAGACATCCACAAATTCAATTTGGCATTTACCTTTTTGTAACATAGCAATTTTATATATATATATATGTGTGTGTGTGTGTGAAAAAACAAAAGCATCAGCAAAGTGTTGACAGACCCAACAGAATTTTTGTACTCCCTACCTAAAAGAAAAAAAAAATCAGGTAAAGGCAATCCAAATTCACCAGCAGTGCCAGAGGCTGGCTGAAATGCGCACCACCTGTGTGAATGCTTCAGTCTGAGCAATTTGCTGAGAA